TAAAAAAAACTATGCTGTTAGAGATGAGCTGAGTCAAACTACGAAATGAACATCATAATTTTTTATTTTACTTTTTTCTATATCAATTTTTGTCACAATACTCCATATATTTGATCAGGTACGTAGTTACATGGAATGCATACATCTCGAAATCGCGAATACTTCTACATTCATGGTTTCCTTAAATCCGTTGATATAATTATCATTGCTACCATAAAAAATTACTAATTGCTGACCATAAATATATATCACCCGAAACATCACTATAGAATTCATTGCAGAAACATCAAGTGCCTGCTCTTATTTCTAAAACGTTTTTTTTCTCGATTTGATAGCAGCAAAATCATCAATAGTTTTATCGGCATTTTTTTTAATGACATTTTTCTGATCATCAATTTTAAGAAGGGCCTCTTGCGGAATACCGCACCGGGGCCCCGAGCTCATCGCTACGGCCCTGCATACATATGTAGACATTCTTCACACCTGAAACTGATCAACCCCGTGCGTTTTCAGCTGATTTATTCGCACTTTTATTGCTAAATTTACGTAGCGTTCTGGGAGGTCCGATTACTACTACTGACGACTGCAGAACATTAAGAACTTAATGAGTTTTATTCTCAAAATATCATACACTATAAAATGGTACCTACCAATACAGTATGGCCAGAACTCTGACAGGTATACCATAGCTTACAAATAAAAGTAAAGGTTAGACGCAGGGACTTGAAAATATTCAAAATTTATATTAGTTTTGCCTTCTGTTTTATGTCTTTAAACAATTTCCAAACCTAAAGAAACCGTTAATTGATTGTGATTTATTCAATATCATCAGGGAAATTGATAATTATGTGTAAATTAAAGTTAAATAGAGATCAATCACAATTCTCTCCCTATTAAACAAATCTGGCGCACATAGACTTTATTTTCCCAAAATTAAAGGAAAGAATGATTTGCTACTTAACTACAACGACAAAAATAAAGTTGCGCTTTTTGTTGTCTGGAATTCTATCGAATAATATTCTTGTGGGACTTACTGTGTACATATCTCGTTATATGACCGAATGATCCTTCAAAGTTCTCGCCTGACTGATGATTCTCGTGTGAAAGGTCTCCAGTGATTATGACAGTGAAAAATAATGTCCTTTGCCAATATGAAAAATTAAACCGCGCAACTTTCGCTAACTATTTTAAAGAAACATTATCAGATACTAATCATCTCATTATGACGATTTTGTAATATTACAACAAGCAGCGTTAATCACAACATTATTAAAGTAAGAACCTCACGTAAAGCCCCATTATATTCTATTATAATTATATTACATGAGCGTTTAGTTTATAGACATTTCCAAGTTGACATTTATCTAAAGACGCCTATTAACTAGGAAGAGCAGAATATTAATAACGGACACATTGATAGTTAAATATTCGTTAAATTCTAATATAAAGATAGGGAATGGTTGATTTTAGCTATCTAGGAAGTCAGATAAGTCAGGACGGAAGGAGTAATAGGGATATAAAGCAGAGGATAGCGCAGGGTCGAGTCGCCTTCAATAAAAAGAAGTCACTTCTATGCTCGCGAACGGTTAATTTAGAATTCGAAAAAGGTTGTTAAAGGCGTATGTTTGGAGCGCGGCGTTGTACGGGTGCGAAACATGGACAGTGGGAGCGGCGGAAAAGAAAAGGTTAGAAGCGTTGGAATTGTGATGTTACAGGCGAATGATGAGGATACTGTGGATAGAGAAAGTTAGAAATGAAGAGTTATTAGAAAAAGTAGGAGAGCAGGGGACTCTATGGAAGTCGATAAGAAAAAGGCTTCGCATATTCCTCAAACTAGAACAACCCACATCCTTAACCATTTGCGAACAGTAATCTAATCTAGATCCACCTCAACCTCTCCTAACTCCCATTTCTGTATGTAATATGTGTCCTACTACACCTTTATGCCTGAGAAGGTGTCCTACCAATCTATCTCGCTTATTTCTTATTGACTTCCATAGAGTTATCTGTTCTCCTATTATTTCTAATATCTCTTCATTTCTAACCTTCTCCATCCTCGGTATCATCATCATTCACCGGTAACACCACATTTCGAACGCTTCTAACCTTTTCTTTTCCGCCGCGCCCACTGTCCATGTTTCGCACCCATACAGCGTCGCGTTCCAAACGTACACTATTAACATTTTCGAATTTTTAAATTCGTTCGCGGGCATAGGCGACACGACCCTGCGCTATCCTACGAATACTTTTTTAAAAATTTCTGTTTACTGCATTAAACAATACAGTTATATCTTTGCTTAAACCTGGTTTTAGTCCTTTGTACGGCAACGTATTGTACAAGTCGAGAAGTCTTATTTACTGACGGCTAAAATTCCTTTGTTGTTCGATCTCTGAGATGTCAGTTTGTTAGAGATAGTTAATCTAATTCGAAAGCATTTTTCCAAAGAAGAAAAGAATTTCCCGTTCCGGCATTACCGATCTACCTATAAACAACACTAATTCATCTTTCTTGTTTCGTGACCCGGCTAAACGGATTTCAGCATCGCCCTTTAAAGTAAGAAGTAATTTTTTAGAGTATTATCTCAGCTAACTTCCTCGCAAGGAGTAAATCTTGTAAAACTTTTCCAATTTGGACCGGGAGTGAGATGCGGAATAAGGAGAGCGTCGCGACGTGCCAAACAGGATCGAGGACATACATAGATGTTTGCCGACACGCACGAGGGGCTACAATACATTTTTAATTTCTGCACATGCTACCCTAATAAATAGTGGTATATGAAAGAAATAAATTATTTTATCTTATTAACTCGTACGATCCAATTTACTTCGCTAACAAAGTAATGTATATTATAAACTTATCGTCGATTCGTACTTATTTTTAGTGTAACTTCATTTAAAAGATCATTTATATTTACATACTTATCCGGAGTGTTTTATATTTGGATGGTACCTACTATCAGAACAAATTCCTTAATTAGATTAACCCTTAAGTACATATTTACCTAATATTGTGATTTTGTACAATATCTTGTCTTTGTTTTTTGTTTCGTGTAACTTTCGAATATTGAAGATGAAAAACACTTTTCCTTTTTCCTAATTGGGAATTCATGCCCGCTGTGCATCAATTATAGGATTGAAAAAGAAAATTGTACGTCGGCAAAGAAAACTAGAAGCGGTTTTAAAGGTTACACTATTTTCTGTCTTTAGTAGCATTTTTTGCGGTCGATTAAATTTTGTTATTTGTCAAACATTCACGAAAGAGTGAAGGCTTTCCATATTGCAGTATCTGACGAGAATTTTCCGAGCTGTGGTCTAATGGAATTTTGAAATCTTCCCGACGTTTTGTCTTTTACTTACTGAACTTTCCACGAAAATTCTACGGAGTTGTTAACGTTTCCATTGAAAATGTCCGGAGCAAATTAAATGAATGAAACGTCTAGAATATTTCAAAATTGTATTAGATCAAGGCTTATTAGCAACTATTACGTAAATTTTTAAATACCTAATGATATAGTTTAAGGTAATAGCACTCACACTGATAAAAAAAAAGGAGAAGTTCTCTAGATACGTTTCAGATGTAAAAGGATATTCCTCAAATTATACTTTACATACTCGCCAGTTGAATAAATACTAAAACTAAAATGTCAAACTATAAAAACCTCAAGATAATTCTAGTTTTTCTTTTTGAATTATGAAGCCTAAACTAATGAGTAACATTTACTACTGATTGTAAATATTCCTAGGAATAATCCTTGTTCTTTACACTAGACGTAATATATAGTCTATGGTTTTGACACAGACAAAGCAATTGGTTTAATTTAACAATTCTCTTTGAATGTGGATTAAGCACTATATAACAAAACAGCCACAAGATCCGCGTTAAACTTTTTGTCAGTTATAAATTCACCGCCTCTGCGGCATTTTATCATAATATCACATGTACGCTTGTAGTTATTTAGTAGAAAAGGCAACTAGTTACTCTTTTGAACTGTGTATAATGTACTGGGTACATCGTGTTTCGCCTGTAACCGCCTTTCTAAAACCGCGAACGGTAAATAATATGCTACAGCTGTTGGTAAAATTATTAATTGTACGACTTTACCATCTATAGTTTGCCGCTTGGCGTTACTGCGACACGCTAATATGCAAAGCTTTTCTTCTAAACGACAACAATTATATACAGTTTAACTTAGTAACAGATTCTGATGAGAATTTATGAAAAGCACTTCTCTTAAAATGCTAATTGTTTTGGTATTGTAATTGGATTGACTCTACTTCTCATCATCATAAGGTTGTCAGTCCTAGGACTGGTTGGACACGTACCTCCACACTTTCCTATTGTGATCCATCCTTAACTATTTGCGAACAGTAATCTAATCTAGATCTACCTCTACTTCTCTTAACTCCTGTTTCTGCCTTTAATATGTCTTTGACTAGATCCTCATGCATGAGAAGGTGTCCTACCAATCTATCTAATAAAAGCCACTTTAATATACCATACAATTAGAACTATTACGCAGTAAGTTTAAGAACTGGTGTATCGTTTGAAGAAGTTGGAATGTGGCGAAACGATCGCCAAGGTAATAAAAATCAGTGGCGGCGGTTTATTTATACGATTTTGGTATTGTGTGCTATTTGGCAAATGTAAAAAAAAAGTAAATCATTTTCTGAAAGCTTGAAACTGATTGTATTAATAAGAAATAAAAAGGTTAATTTTTAGGAAAAAGAGTACTTTTATACTCTATTATTTTCATTAAATCGTTGCCTTAGAAAATTCTGATGGCATAAAATGTAGAAACATTTATAAAATATATGTGTGTCCTACCTTAAAAACGTTCACGTACAAAGGTAACCAATATGGACGGAACTAACCTGAAACAGAAGAAAAACGTTTAGTAGAAAATATTTATTAAGTTATCTTCTTAATAATGCGAAACTTATCTGTAATAATGAACATTATTAACCACATAGATTTCAAATCATTTATTTTCCTATTACAGATAATTGTGGAAAATGCAAGACGGCAACACGTAGACTGAATCTGAATAAATACTGCAAAAGGGATTTTGGTAAGTATCGTTTTCTAAAATAGGGTTATTACAGATAAATTGAATTTCCTTGCTGCAGAAATTGTCATTTAAAAATAGCAGAATTTCCGTTGGAATGCAAGCGAATTCTTTTAGAAACAATTTCATTCGTGAAAATACATTGTTTAGTGTTCATATCAAGGTCTAAATACATTAAACAACATACAGAGAAACCCAGAATCAATCATATATTAAAAAACCGTTTTCTTATAGGAGATAAATCCATAAAGTTTATGTGTTCAGCAGAAACAGGGGTTGTATTTTAGTTTAAAGGTGCGTATTTGTGAATTTATGAAAATCTTCTTCTTTTTCTCTAATTTGAAATTAATAACAATCACTCCAATGCAAATTTGTCCTTCGGGGTGGAACATCTAAGATTATTGCGGCAAAGAATAGACACGCCTGTATTCTTCAGTTGTGTTTCAATGGAATGTTTTCCGATTCAATGACCAGTTTTTCCGCCAGGGGGCGTCAAAGTTGAATTGGTCAATTAGCCAAATAAGTATTGGTCAATTTGTAATCTTCAGGGGGCCGTTAGTCTTAAGACTAGTTGGACATACACCTCCTAAACTTTGAATGGCAGAAACTTTTTCAATCAGTGTATATCCTTGTTCCGAAATTGTTTGAGTTTTTCGCTTTTACGATCTCGTGTTCGGAAAGTATCAAGTAGGCCGTAAAAGCAGCCGTTAGCTACTACAACGGCCTACTTGACTGCCTTTTCAGTGTACTCTCCAGCCGGGTCCAAAGGCACGACAACATCAGCTATTCAATACTTCATACATGTATATACTTTTCATCAGCCTGCTCGTTTTTTAAAAGTTGCTTACTATGAAACTGGCGCTGGTCGGGTGGCACTTTTTATGCCCTTGAAGTCGTGATTTCTTTCGCACGACTCCCATATCGGTCTAACAAACTTGACTCTTACCTATGCTCATACCAACCTCTCTTCTTAGTTTTCTTCTCCGCCAAAACCGCCATCATCATCACACACGTATTATGCATTGCAAGTACCCCACCTACCTACTAGTACACATACGTGTATATGTTGTTATGACGAACAATGCACTGTCAAGGGTCTACTTTCGCTACCTTTGGAGCTACAATTGGATTAAACGAAAACGAAAATGTTCTTTGTGTATTATATGGATTTGTTTTTAATACAATCAAATTTTAAAGTGTAACTATCTAAATCCCAATCGTCATCTAATGCCCTTCCAACTTGGAAAATTGTAGAAAGTCTTCTTCATCATCATCATAAGATCGTCAGTTCTATGACTGGTTGGACACGAATCTCCACATCTTCCTATCCTGAGCTAATCTTCGCATCTCCCTAAAACTAGAACATCCCACATCCTTAACTATTTGCAAACAGTAATCTAGTCTAGGTCTACCTCTACTTCTCTTAACTCCTGTTTCTGCCTCTAATATCTCTCTGACCAGACCGTCATGCCTGAAAACGTGTCCTATCTCGCCTATTTTTTATTGACTTCTCTGTTCTCCTATTCTTTCTAATACCTATTCATTTCTAACCTTTTCTATCCACGGTATCCTCATCAATCGCCTGTAACATCACATTTCCAACGCTTCTAACCTTTTCCCTTTCGCCGCGCCCACCGTCCATGCTTCGCACNTTTTCTTCTCCGCCAAAACCGCCATCATCATCACACACGTATTATGCATTGCAAGTACCCCACCTACCTACTAGTACACATACGTGTATATGTTGTTATGACGAACAATGCACTGTCAAGGGTCTACTTTCGCTACCTTTGGAGCTACAATTGGATTAAACGAAAACGGAAATGTTCTTTGTGTATATGGATTTGTTCAAATTTTAAAGTGTAACTAATCTCAATCGTCATTTAATGGCCTTCCAACTTGGAAAATTCTAGAATGTCATCATCATCATCATAAGGTCGATAGTCTGGTTGGACACTCATCTCCACTTCTTCTTATCCTCAGCTAATCTTCGCATTTACCTAAAACTCGAACATCCCACATCCTTAACTATTTGCGAACAGTAATCTAATCTAAGTCTACCTCTACTCTTCTTAATTCCTGTTTCTGCCTCTAATATGTCTCTGACTAGACCTTCGTGCCTGAGAAGGTGTCCTACCAACCTATCTCGCCTATTTCTTATTGACTTCCATAGAGTCCTCTGTTCTCCTATTCTTTCTCATACCTCTTCATTTCTAACCTTTTCTATCCACGGTATCCTCATCAATCGCCTGTAACATCACATTTCCAACGCTTCTAACCTTTTCCCACTGTCCATGTTTCGCACTCGTACAGTGCCGCGCTCCAAACATACACATTTACGAATCTTTTTCGAATTTCTAAATTAATCGTTTGCAAGTATAGAAGTGACTTCTTTTTATTGAAGGCGACTCGTTTGTTATCGGAGATACACAGTCACACCATTTGGTATGTTTCATTTTATGTTTAGCAAAATCTTTACAGCGTCGTCCTGGGAAACTAGATTACCTAATTCCTAAGGTGCTTTTTGGTGTTTCGTATATACGCATGAATGTAATTCACAGTTTCTCTGGTACAGATTGTGTCACTAGCTTATTAGAGATAAACATGCCTTGTGATAAGCTGCCAAACCCATACGATGTGTATATAGGTATATAGATAAATAAGTATGTACTGATGTACTACAGATGCATGTATCTGAAGAGAATGCAATGGAAAATTTTGCCAGTGGCTATCAATTAAAAATAAAAAAGACGTTGCATGAATAAATGATGCATAGCAATTTCAGATCATTTCGCTGTCAAGAAATATGGTTATTTTGTATATGTCGGTCTCTCGTTTTGTAACATTTTTGAACTTTCACGCTTTTCCTCGATCGTGATTATCATTTAAGGTACGTCCTTCTTCTATCAGCGCAGGTACTTCTGTGTATCCATTACAATGTTAAATTGCACTTGAATTTCTCATTTTTGGGTTATCCTTAATAAATAGTTTTTCTATACTTGGAGTAAAAAGTAAGCGCTAAAATAAATCCCTGATTAGATAATGTTTCATCAACTTTTTAATATCCCTGAGCTTTACAAGATTACGAAAGGTAGAGGTAAAGTTGTAATGAAATTTACAATAATTTCTACACTTAGGTAGGTATTTATTATCATTGTCCCAAAACCTAAGTTATTTGCTTATCAGTAACGAGATTGATTTGAATGAAAATAGTACAAATGAATTATTAGATAATAATTTTTACATAGATATTTAATTTCACACTGGTTAACGGAACTAACAACAAAATTATATAGTTAATCGTTAATACGAAAACAATATCTAAAGAATTTAACATCAACATCTATTTTCTTAACGTTCTTGTTATAATTTTGCTTTGTTAGCAATTATGGTTCGAGTTCTTTCACACGTGGATGATCCGGTGGACGAACATACCAAAGGATGGGTCCGCTATATGATCACCGTTGAATCGATTTTCAAAAAGGCCCGGGATTCAAGAATAAGGAAAGGGACAACATCGCTACTTATACCCTCTGCTGATTTGGCTTGCAAGTGTCCGAAAATCAAAGTGTCAAAGTAAGTTGTTAATCTTGTTGAGTCAAAAACAGACGTCTGTATGCGCTCCTAAAAGGGGGTAGGGGAGAGGTACAAGCAAGTCAAGCATGCAAGGCACCCTTACCAGACTTACATGGGTTTGATGTTGCAAAAGCTAGTCATTATTTAATACAATATATATGGTAAAAGGCTTCCCTATACAGAGATGTAACTTATCTAAGATACAAGTATATGAAATGAAGATAGAAGATACAAAATACGNTGCATTTTGTATTCCAGATACTTATTTAAGGTATCTTGTACATCAGTGTCCTTAAATTTTTGTATATATCGGAGAGGATTTAAATACAGGAGCGTCGTTTCGAATCAATTTCGATGTTTCACATTTGTAGCAGCAAATTAATTTTTCTTTTAATTTTTTCCACCAAATATAGAGGCAAAAGTTAAATGAAATAAGATTGATAATATTTAATTCCTTTCCATAATTAACACGGAACGTTTCCAGACGTTAATTACAAAATCGCAAGCTACGGTTCTTTTTACTTTACGGACTAGTTTTGTTCCCGTTTTCTTTTTGTTCGGCGACTGCATATTTTCCGGTAATTTTTAATGAAATTCCAGAGTTTCTTGGGGCAATCCATGAGTGAGTAGGTAAATAAGACGCCGCGTCGCGCCCGAGAGTTTAATAAGAGCGAAATTTATGCCCGTAGACTTGCTTTTTGCCAAGCCAAACGGCCAGCAGAATTAAAAATAAAACGCAACATAACGCGACGCGTCGCCGGATCGCATCGCATCGCCGCCTTCGGGCCGATTTGTTTCGTTCGTGTACCACGTAACTAAATACAACATACGTACATGCAAACAACGCACCCATAATTCAGAGTGCATTTAAAGACTGTTCGCGAAACGAATAAATTACGATCTCGTTTCGTTTAACCAATAAAACAAATGCTACACGTATGTATTAAAAAATGGCCTTTACCGTAGCAGGCCACTGCTGCATCGAACGACCAGTTGCCAAGATATTTCGTATTCTACCTACCGGTGTTACTGAACGAAAAATGTCATATTTCATTTAAAATTAATACTTTTGCCACGTATTTCGCTTAAATTTTAAATTTTCGTGTAAAAATGAAACTCTAAAGAGTTCAATACCTACGCGTTTCCATAAACAGATACAGTGTAAACTCTTTACAACGTCACTCGATTTAACGACAAACTCCTTAAAACGTCGAAATTGCTTGACTGGTTGGTTTACATTGTTTTCTAAACAATATTACACTCTATGTAGCGTCACGCTCACTCTATTTAACGACAACAATGCGGCATTATAAATCATTAGCAGTACTTTCTAAGTTTCCGAAATAGATAAGAACTGCAGCTGTGTACGTTGTTGAAGAAGACGATCCTGTCCCTCCACCAAGCACCAAACAAGCACTTGATGCAGCGAAACTATTAAAAAAATACTTTTTATATAATCAAATTGATCCAGCAGTATNATTCAGTTGTAAAATAAATGTAAAAGTGTATTTCATAGAACAAGTAAATGTATGGTGACTGTCTGACGTAGTGCTTTTTCTAACAGCAATATCTTATATTTTAGAACGATTTGAAGAGTTTGGAAGATGCTGTTGAAGAAATAGCACTATTAGATGATGACGAAAAAATTGCATATTTAATAGGAGAAGTCTTTATATATCAGAACACCGAAAAGACACAGGTAAAGATTCATGATTGATCCTTAATAAAACTAAACTTTTATACAAACATTCTACTAGATATTCATTCAATCATTCAATCAGCATTATTAATTTACTATAAAACTGTGTTTTATTCAACATTATAGGTGTTAAGTTACTGTTTCCCAATTGCACTCGCTCTTTTATGTTGCTTGCAGATACTTTTTACTACATAATATTTTCTAGAACTGCTTGGATGATGCCAAAAAAGATATAGAAAAGGAAATTAAAGACTTAACCAGTGAATCTGTTGGGGTTACGGAATTGATGAGTGATTTAAAGACCCATTTGTATGGAAAGTTTGGTAGCAGCATTAATTTAGAAGCAGACGAAGAATAATAAAATGTAGAGTTGTAGCGCTTCGTTAAACTAATTTGTTAACAATTTTTTTGTAACAGCATTTAATTGCTTCATATTTAAATTAAATATTCTACTGATTTTATTTAAACTGTTTTTTAACCATCAGCATTTGTTCTGTTTTTCTAATGCATTTAATGCTCGTAAGCTATTCTGGTACATTAGGTTATGAACGTATGCCTGAGGCGGCGATCGATACGGCGGCACGATTGCACTTTCGACAACCGACAGACTAATAGGGTCATAAAACAGGAAGATTCACGGAATTTTTTTGCTATATGTTGTAGGTCGTATCTGATTTTGGGAAGAGAAAAGGACGATTCACCGGGGGGTATCCCTACGGGTAACGTTGCGGCAACACAACGTTCAATTGTCATCGAATGGAAGGACGAATGGGATCAACGGATGCGTAGGTTCCGTCGTAGGGCGCGTAAATGCAAGTGAAGAGGAGGACGAAGAAGTTCGCCAAATTATACCAAACATAAATTAGAAATTTAGAGAGCGTTATCACGAGGCGTTTCAAATTAAAATAATCCGAGTAATAGGTCACTGTGATTTATTTATATGTAACTTCAGTATTTTAACAATATATCGCAGCTAAGGAAAATGCATTTCTATTACGACTGACGAAGGGCGCAAATGCGAACCAAAACACACTGTGCGAAGTGTCCGAAATAAAACGAAATGATTACAAAAGCTTTCAGTAATAGTTAACGCCATATTCTCCATGTATGTACAGATACTGCATAAAAATGTCTATATACGATACTTTATTATAAATTATTTATTTTATTTTGCGTGAGTGTCTTATCTTTTGTACAGCAGAATGATATTTTTTGTAGATTTAATTTTTGTACAAACAGCTTAAGTTATTTTCATAAAATGTACTGCCCACTTCTTTTTTTTAATTTTTTTGTTTTTCATATTCATTAACTGATTTTTTTATCTAAATTAACAGTTTATACTTTATGAGTTTTTTTTATATAAACTTTTTGGTACCGATCATTTTCAATTGCGGACTTTGAAATAGAAATTTCTCGCTATGTGTATGGAAGATGAGAATATTGTATCTGAAGTAAAAATTGTACAGTATTATACTATAAGGCGTTAAAGATTAATGTTCTCCTTACTGAATAAACATTAAGCTTTCTATGTTTGTGTAATATTATTATCATTAACATTACTAGTTCCTAGGCTACCCAAAATTTGAAATTATCTCAATGTTTTTATCTTTTAAAAATAGATCAGTACTTAAATGTTTCGTGTTATTATAATAACATATCACAAAGCAAGGAAAACACGTGTCGTAGCAATATTGAGTTATTAGTGTTGGCATTTTAGATGAGGTGTTCTATAAATGTCCACAGTTTACCAACTAACTCCCTTAACCATTAAAATGGGAAAATTGTAAAACTATCACTGGTAACAAGTGGTTTCTTTTCGATATCGCTGTTCTTCCAAATTGTATTTCTTTAAACATGTTTGTAAATTGTATGTGTACTTTAAATAAATGTGTATTAATGTGATCTTGTGTCATTATAAACTTATCAACTTTAAGAGAATCTCAAACACGTATTTTGTCTGTAGTATCACACGATAAAGTTTAACTTTTGGCGCTCTTTTCCACTACAATTTTCCACTTTCCACGTAATTTTCATGCACATTGTGCCATCTACTGACAAAGGTGCAAACATTTGGCGGAGAGAATACCAACGTTGCAAATAAAGAAGTTTTCGTTTCGAGTTTACCATCTATGGTGTTCTTACAAATTAACCTACAAAATTTGCATTGTCCAAATTTGTAAACATATTGAAAAAAACGATATTTAGAAATTTACAAGAATGGCATCAGGAAAGGCAACCGTTCAAGCTGTAAATAACGTAATTAATAATAAAGTCTAGTGCCTTAATTCATCTTTTGTAGGACTCAGACGTTCACATAACCTATGAAGATCAACAGAAAATTAACAAATTTGCCAGACTTAATGCTAAATTAGAAGTTTTAAAAGATGAAATTAAACAAAAACAGGTAATTCTGATATCTATTCAGTTGTAAAATAAATGTAAAAGTGTATTTCATAGAACAAGTAAATGTATGGTGACTGTCTGACGTAGTGCTTTTTCTAACAGCAATATCTTATATTTTAGAACGATTTGAAGAGTTTGGAAGATGCTGTTGAAGAAATAGCACTATTAGATGATGACGAAAAAATAGCATATTTAATAGGAGAAGTCTTTATATATCAAAACACCGAAAAGACACAGGTAAAGATTCATGACTGATCTTATATAAAACTAAACTTTTATACAAACATTCTACTAGATATTCATTCAATCATTCAATCAGCATTATTAATTTACTATAAAACTGTGTTTTATTCAACATTATAGGTGTTAAGTTACTGTTTCCCAATTGCACTTGCTCTTTTATGTTGCTTGCAGATACTTTTTACTACATAATATTTTCTAGAACTGCTTGGATGATGCCAAAAAAGATATAGAAAAGGAAATTAAAGACTTAACCAGTGAATCTGTTGGGGTTACGGAATTGATGAGTGATTTAAAGACCCATTTGTATGGAAAGTTTGGTAGCAGCATTAATTTAGAAGCAGACGAAGAATAATAAAATGTAGAGTTGTAGCGCTTCGTTAAACTAATTTGTTAACAATTTTTTTGTAACAGCATTTAATTGCTTCATATTTAAATTAAATATTCTACTGATTTTATTTAAACTGTCAGCATTTGTTCTGTTTTTCTAATGCATTTAATAAACAATTCTTGAAGATGATTAACAGTTTATTATTTAATAAAATCCCTATA